ACATAGTGGTAGGTTGCAGAAAGCCATTTGGTCTTCTCGTGGCTTGGAAAATGGTGTTCCAGATTTCAGTGCAATTTATCCGCAACCTATTAAAGAATGAAAAATTATCAATGTGTTCATCACATAAGGACAAATTAAAATGATACACAGAATTAACTAAAAATCCTTTCAGAACCATCTACTAAATTACACTGATTTTCTTTGCATATTTTAGCAAAAGACAGACTTAATTGGAAATGTAACATGAAACTTTTTTTTTTTTTTGGTGAAGCCAGGGATTGAACTCAAGCCCTTGAGCTTGCCACGCAAGCACTTATTAAACTGAGCTATCTCCCCAGCCCCAATTCGAAATTTTTTAAAATCCATTTTCTATACCCACTTCCTTTGTTACTAGGCTTGTCTCTTGAATTCTCAATAGATGGGATTTCTGACTGCCACATAACAGAGAGAGCCCAGAGAAGCACCCTGTAGAGCATTTGGCCAATGATCTCGAGATAAGAATAAAGATAACATTAAACATACAGAGGCAGAGCTCTGATTTTTCTCATGGAGTGCTTCAACCCAATCTATCACTAAGTTTTAAGCAAATTTACTCATCTTTAACCTCTCAAACTTCATGTATTCTCTTGGGCCTCTGAGCCATAGTCATTTTTTTTTTTTTTTACAGTTTCTGAAAATCTGGCCTAGAGAATATGCAGAAAATAAAAAAGGAATTAGGCTTCTTTCACTGTATATTGTTAGGTATGCTAGTCATATAAAATTCTTGTTAAATTTTATTTTTTGTCATTTTTGAGACAGGGTCTCACTATGCAGCTCAGGCTGGCCTTGAGCTCACTTTGTAGCCCAGGCTGGTTCTGAACTTGCAATGATCCTCCTGCTTCAGCCTCCCAAGTGCTGGGATTACAGGTGTGCACCAATACACCCGGTCCTTAAGCTTTAAATTAAGATGGCACAAATGGGATGTGAGAAAAAGGAGTTTAAAAGTTTTGTTTTGGGTATAATGAGGCCATCTCACTCCCTCCAAATATAAGCAAAGATGTCAAATGAAGAAACCCACTACATGCAGCGATTACTTCCGATCTGATTTGCTGTATGGAGGGTTTTTTTTTTTTTTGGTAACTTCTGGGTGCCTTAAGGGCAGGTCTGGGGCAGCTTTTAGAGCTGGGAATTGCACCGAAGTATTATACACCTGACTGAATTTGCCCAAGCGCCACTATAAACAACTGAGCTAACCGGCAAAGCCCCTGATTTGTTGTATGGATAGTTTAAATTATTAGTTTTTCCTCCCGATATAGGAAATTACTCAGTGGAAACTCATTTTTTAAGTGTTTTTTGATACAGGGTCTTACTATGTAGTTCATACTGGCATTCAAGTCTCTATGTAGCCCAAGCTGGCCTCAAACTCACAGAGATCTCTCTGCTTCAGTCTTTCTAGTTCTACCACCATGCCCGGCTCTCGGTGGGAATTTAATCAGGTCTACAGTGGGGGCTTTACGTGGCCACAGTCAAATTCATGTAGAAAGTCGCTACAGTGTACAAAGTCCATGAGGGAGGAGTGGGGTGCAACAACAGAGATTATTTACCCAGGTTCATGGCTGGGAACTGATCTAGAGAAAGGAGGTCTACATCTAAATTGTGGGCTAGGGAGATAGTTCAGTGGCATAAGCACATGCCTGGCAAACATAAGGTCCTGAGTTCAATCACCAGTACTGAAAACAAAAATTATACTTACACTTTCATTCTACACTTTTTAAACAGTGAACACAACTGTGTCCTTCCTTACCTTCAACTTTTCTGTGTGGCAGGTATCTTGTTTTCACCTTCCAGTTCCTCGACCCCAGCCTGCGTCATGAGGTCTGCAATGTTTTTCTCCAGATCGTCAATGCGACTACTCATGTCATCGAGTGGTGAAGTTAAGGAACACTAGCGGCGTCTCCCACTGATTACCCTTTTCCTCCAGGGCACTGCAGACTACAGCCTTACACACTATGTCTAAGGAAAATGGTTTCCCGATTTCCTTTGGATATTGTTACAGTGTAGTCTCACGGTGAAGTCCAGGCCCTGACTCTTATGATCGATGGACCCTGCTAATTTCTCTGGTGCTTTTTTTTTAACACCTCAGTTTCTCCAATTGTTTAAATAAAGATGGCAACACTGTGACTTACTTGTAAGATTACAGTTAGGATCACAAGAGACACAGTCACTCAGCTCCCTGTTTGTGCAGTTCTGAGGCCTCCCCACCCTCTTTCTCTGGAACACAGTGCATCCAAGCTCAGTAGGGAAACTCCTGCGCGCCCGTCTGGGGCTGGCCTGCAAACCCTCTGCTTAGCGCGCCACTCACTACCGGGCCCACCAGCTCCAAGGGCCCCAAGAGGCTGAGAGCAAAAAGGATATTTCTTCCAATGATCTGGTCAGACATCGTCTGAAATTTATCCTGCATCTGCTGCAAGAGGGTCTGCACCTAAGGGGGGCGGGGACACAAAAAACAAGCAAACAAGAGCAAACCCACGTTACTCTGAAATTATCCCAGTTACCCCTCTGGGACGGGGCTGGCGCCCTCGCCGGGCGTGGGGACGCAGGAGTCTGGCTTCGCCCCCGGAAGGCCTCTGGGCGGCTGGGCGGCCTTCAGCCAGCGGCGCCGTCTTCGGGCTGCAGCTTGCCGGTCCGCCTAGCCGCACAGAGCGGCGGTGAGGCCCCTCCCGGCGCGGGCCTGGGGCGAGGGGACGCGCGGGTGCCGAGAAGAGGGCTGCGGCTGGGGCCCCGAGGCGGGCAGGCTGGGGGACGGCGCTCGGCGGGGCCACGCCCGGCAGCGGGTCCGGCCAACCCCTCCACGAGCGGGGCCTCCGCGCCTGGGGCCCGCGGCCCGCTTACCACCGAGGTGAGGTCCTGCATGGTCTTGGGGTCGGTCTCGGCCATCTCCCCGGTTCCCAGCTTGGCGGCGAAGTCTCTGACAGTCACCCACACTTCCGTTCGTTCGCTCCAAGGCCCCCGGCCCCTGCTCCTCCTGACGGCTCGGAACACTCGCGGGACCGCAGGGCATTGTGGGGGTCGTAGTTTATGTCACACACAGGAAGGGCCGCCATAGTGCGCACTTCCGTTCCGAGACGAGGCCCCGCCCCATTCACGTAGCCCCTCCCCCTGCCCTGTTCTGTCCCGGCGCCAGTTCCTGGCGGAAAACGGGAGAAAAAAACCGGATGTGTGCTCAAGGAGTCGGAGTGACTTTTACCTCTTTCCGGGACCTAGTAGAATAGGAGTGGTTTTTTTTGGCTGGTGGGTGTGCGCTTGTTGGATGCTTGCCTTGCAATGAAATACAATATTCCAGTGGGTTGCGGTGTTTAAGGAGGTGGGAGTGCTAAAATGTTGGCTGTCCTTGCAGCCCTTCTTTTTCTCTAATTTTTGGTCTGCAAACTTAAGCTGTTAACCCTCCAGAAGAGAAGCTTATTATTATTACCCTATAATACAGGCAGGTGAGCTTAACCTCACTATCTGTCTGAATATCAAACATCTTAGACATAAACTTGGAACAGGTATTTTCCATCAAGTATTGATATGTTAAACTTTAAATCCCTATAGAATGTGAAGAAAAAAAATTTTAAAAATAGGAATAAACAATCACATATTTTTGCACAGAAATTTAGAAATCTAACCACATACAACATTGTAGTAGGACAGTCTTACGACATTCTTTTTCTTGTCTCAAGTTTTCATTTATTACCCCCTTTTTTTTTTTAAAAAAAGAAACATTTACTTGATAGATAGTATAGCAGTAATTGATCTGACATGAGAAGCAGTATGCATTTAGAAGGCCAGAATGACAGGCATTCCAAGCATGACCCTACCATTACACATTGCTATCTTCAGTACAGTTGCTTAGTTCACAGGTATCAGCATGTATAGTTAGTCAGGGTGAGAATCCTACCAATTAACTGCTAGTTTTCAAAGCCTGCTGAAGATTCCCAGGATCACTGCCTTAACCATCTTGTGCATATAAATGTGTGGTTTTGCCCCTGTTGTGGCCCTGGCCATTCAAGGTCAGTGAGGACTCCGGACATAGGAGAACCTGTACTGTAACATCCTGTAACTCAGTGGTGTCCCAAATTTTCTGATGAAGGAGATTATGGGGGCCACAGAAAAGTGATCGAGGATGGAGAGTATGCCTAAGGAGAGTCACATGGAGAGAAAACATTCTCTCAGGCTTCCACAGAGAGCAAATTGGTCAAACAATGGCCGTGACTTATCCACATGGCTGACACTGACAAAGGATCTACACACTGTGTTCTTTGGTTTCAGGGTAAATCCTGAGGGCATTTGACTGACCTTGTCAGATACAGAAGTTACGTGGTTTGTTATATACGTCTTACTTTATCTTGGTCTTAACCATCCAGCAGAAAAGTATAAAAATGAGGTATAAAAACTAAAGCCATACTACTATGCTAAGCTATCAAAGCCTCAAGTCGCCAACTTCTGATGTTGCCAGTCGTACAGATAACCCACTACTATGTATGGACTACTGGACTATATTGGATTATTTTGCTGAACACATGCACCTACACTATTTAAATAGCAATGGAATACCATCTCTGACAAAACTAAACAAAAAAGGGGATATAAATTAAGGACCATTTTGTATCCATTTGTACAAAATAGGATAGATACACAGCTACTTTCTCTTAATTCAATGAGAAGAAAGATTTGTACTAATAGTGTTTGGACAGGATATCATGTCTGCATCTTGCACTATGAATAACTACTATGAAGACAACAACATGCAATGTATTAATTATTGAAACTGTCTTACTAACCTGTTTTGAAATTGTCTCATTGCTATTTGTTTCTCAATAAAATTAATAATAATAAAAAAGGAGGTGGGAGTGCTAACCTGGGACCTGAAGCTCCAGCCACACAAGTGGTCTTGGGAGAGGGTTTTGTGACGGGGCAAGGGGGTCCTCACTGTGGGTCTGGCATGATCCACAATTTAGCCACCTTGGAGGACTGTGTTTAGGGGTCAGTTTCAGGGGAGCTTTGCCGAAGGGAAGCTGCGATCCACCAGTGTCTTTAACAGCCGGAGCAGGGCTGGCCGTGGAGGCCTGAGCCTCACCTGCTCTCCACAGCTATCTCCCAGTGCACCCTCAGACCCTGCACAGAGAGGGATCTTTCTATGCCACAGAACAATTGTTTTTAAAAAAGTTATTGGTGGTTTCTAACTGGTGTTCAGTTAGTACTTTTTCTGATTACTTGATATAAACATAAGTATATTTCAACTTTACCTCCCGAAGACCCCAGTGCCGCAGTTATCACCATTTTATAATTTTTAGAACCTGGGGACAGGACCTAAACTTCAGCAAGGTCATCAGATGAAGGAGGTAAGGGGTGCGGAACTTTCTGACTGCGTCTTTCTCTTTCTCTCTCGAATCCTCCACGGCCAACCCTGCTCCAGTACTAACTGAGAGAGAGGAAGCGGAGGCGTGCCCTGTGTGCTGTACACTCAACCCGCCACACGCTGGGGGCGTCCCACCCCTCCTCATGACAGCGAGGTCTCTCCCAGCCTTTCCCAAATGTCTGCTGTGGGTGGAGGCTGGTGGGCTCTGAGGACACTGCCTACTCCTTCCGGATGAGTTTATTTTTGCCATGGCCATTTTTCTGAGAATGTTGGGATTAAAGGTTGGCATGTTAGTTTTCTAGCGCCCCTGTAACAAGCCAGGTGACATAAAAAAGCAGATATTTATCCTCTCGTAGCTCTGGAGGCCAGAAGGCTGAAACCGTGATACCAGCAGGGGCGTTTTCCTCTGAAGGAGAACCGATGCCGTGTCGCAGTCCGGTCTCCGGTGTGGCCAGCATCTGTAGCTTGTAGGTGGATCACTCAGGTCCCCGTTTCTGTCTTCCCGGGCTTTGTTTTCCTTTTGCATGTGTCTCTCACCTAGTGAAGACAGTAGTCATTTTAAGCTAAGAGCTCAGCCTTAATCCAGTAAAATCTCACTTTAACGAATTAAAATAATGTTGTATTCTGAGCTCCGGAGGGTTAGAACTTTGACAGAGTTTGTCCGGTGGATGTTACAATCTGTAACAGTTGGTAAAGCAATATCACTTTAAATTTGTGACATACTTGTTATTTTATTTTGAGACAGGGTCTCCCTGTGAAGTTCAGGCTCAACTTGAACTCACTGTGTAGCCCAGCCTGGCCTCAAACTGGTTTTATTCTTCCAGTCCCAGCCTCCGGAGTGCGCTGTTTTATAAAGAGTTTACATAAAACTCTAGAGCCATTGAGTGTGTAGCCAAGACCAACAGAGCCTTAGGATTCTGACTTTCGACCCTGATCGCTGGATATTGAAGTCTGGATAGCTGCACTCGCGTTTCTAGTGGGATCCGGCCCTGAACAATGCAAGAATGCAAATTAGCAAGGTCTTGGAAGGTTCTTCCTTCCTTCCTTTTCAGTTCTTTTAAAATCCTAATTGAAATTTTCTGAACATAAGCAGAAAATAAACTTGACACTTTTAGTGAAGTCATATATATATTATATATATATATTGCATTTCGAGAGAAGACATGGTTACTTTGCATGCAGACAAATATCTGTTCAACAGCTGCTGCACGCAGAAGCCTCATTAATTTATGGTCATGGCTGACGCACCTGTGGGAACTGACACGCACAGCCTTCCTGAATATTGTTTCATTAACAAAACTACTGTATTCTGTGTAAGACATTGGAAATTAACCTTTAAACTTCAGTTGTGAACAGCCCTCATTTTTAACCTTTAGTTTAATGCAGTGGTTGTCACATCTGCTGTTAGATTTTGGGGGGATCTTTAGATTAATTGGACAATGCAATTCTCTTTCTCCCTTCCAGGACAGTTCGGTTTTACTCGAGCTTGGTGCGGCACTTTTACAGTAGCTCTTTGGCTCATGCTGGGCCAGCCATTCTGAGTACTGCTTTCTTGGAGCTAAGGAAGGTCTTTATGTGTGCCGTGGCTACGCGTGGCGAGGTTTTGTGTTGGGCTCCCTAGGCAGGCAGGAGGCAGGGCCTCAGAGAGGGCTCTGCTCTGCTCTTTCCCTGCTCAATCTGGGTCAGCCTTGTCGGGCCTCGGTGGGCCCCTGGTTTGAGCTGCCTGGTGGCCGCGTGCGTGTCAGAGGTGCTGCTGCAGTCTCCTGGTGAGACCTCTGCCAACTGGTGGCTTGGGCTCTGCCTTCGACCCTTCCGTGGCCATTCCAAACTTCCTGGCAACCCCAAACCCATGGTTTTATCCCTGTAACTCTCAGAGGATAAAATTGCATTCTAAGAAGAAAAATACTTGTGGAGAAAATAGGCCGCCAGGCAAAACCCCTCTCTTAGCAACCTGGCTGGGAGGCGGGAGCTCCAGAAGGGCCCCGGTCCCTGCAGACACCTTGCTTGGGACAGTTTGGAAAGCTGTCCTTATTCTGTCACTGTTTGGACTCTGCTGTTCTAAAGATGGTCAGAGACCAAGAACACATGTGAAAATCCCAGGTAATCTTTTGAGTGTTTCACACAGAAGTTGGAAATTTCTTTGCTCCGACTTAGCAAAGCAATGCTAATTCAGCTCAGAGACCAAGTTCTTTAGCTAGGGCCCCAGGACTGACCCCTGCAATAGTCAGATATTTTAGAGTGATACATTTTTATCCCTCTTAAGTACCCCCCTGTGCTTGCCAGGCAAGCGCTTATTCTACTGAGCCATCTCCCCGGTCCTGCCCTTTTAAGTTTCTGTATAAAAATGAACTTAAAATGTCTGAGAATTTTTACCTCAAGCACAGGGGAGACTTGTGCCTGAAGGTTTCCACACATCCCCGCCCCCATCCTTCTCGTCTCTTACTAATCCTAATCGGCATGGACACTGCAGGCCTAGAAGGATTTATTAACCCCTAACAGAAAGGCTTTAGAAAAATAGTGGGAGTTTTCTCCGCATGCACTTGTCATGTGTCTGTGAGGCTCTCTCCGGCAACACAGCTCCAGTCTCAGCCCCCTGCTGAGTCCCTCCACGTCCCCAGAGACTAGTGAGGGCTCCAGACATCGCATGAGTGGGGCCAAGGCTTGCCACGTGTGGCCAGCCTCTGACAGTAGTGACACAGCACAAGACTTTTCTACTTAGTGTTACCTAAATGATTTCTACTTATAGACTATACGCTTGTTTCAGTCTTTGAAACAGGGTCTTGCTCTGTAGTTTAGGCCGGCCTTGAACTAGCTATGTAGCAGGGTGCCTGGAAAGTCACAGAGATCAGAGGGGTCCTTTTGCTCCAGCCACACCAGGGCCGGGGTTACAGGTGTGTGCCACCATACCCTCTCTAGATTTAGTTCTAATTTACGGAATTCAAGTTCTTCTCTGGAATTCTCTCTCATACTTCTCACCATTTTTCTCTCTCTGTCTTACAGATGCTTTCATTGAGCATAGTCACAGATGTGGAAGTTGTGCAGTACTTGGACGCATCCACTAGTGAAAGTAAATATAGCAAGGACAACAAATTCGACGCAGCCAAAAATCGTTAATCGCCTCAGACGTGGCCTGCATTTTGGGCCCGTCAGTCACTCACCTGGGTTAGCGTTTACTGTGCTCTTTGTAGGCTGAAGGTGGCGGCCCTTGCCCCAGGCTGCTGTGGGAGGATTCGATGAGCTGATATGTGAAGGGACTTCATGCGGTGAGGGTGGTAACAAGCGGGCAGCATGCACCAGCCGGGGCTGGCGTTAGGACTCCTCGGCATCCTGGGCAGATCCCGGGAGCGGATTCCTTTCCTCAGAACCATCCGGCTGGCGGTGCGTGGGCACAGGTGCACCTGAGCCAGCACCCAACAGACCCTGCAGGGTATTTGACGGTCACATTTCAAAACCAAGACTCGATGTGTTTGTTTTAGCTGAAATGAGATCTCATCTACTCCCCAAGTGTGAGATGGGAGGGACAATTATTCCATTTACCAGACTATTTAAAATTATATGTATGTATGTATATATATATATATATATATATATAGTATTTTAGGGAAGGGTTTACAGGGTGTTGAGGGTCTCACCACTAGATTGGGCTTGTAGTGATCCACCTGTTTACAGGCTCCCAAGAGCTGGGATTACAGGCATGCGCCACCACGCCCAGTCTCAATTGCCATCTCAGCATGCCCTGGGAGCGGGGCCAGCACAGCAGGCCTGGGAATCGAATCCCTGGCCCCTGCGCCTGCTTGCAGGTAAAAGGACATTTCCAAAGTTCAGCATGAGTTGACAGAATTTCTCACACTGTTTTGTAGGCATCAAAGTCTTACTTGATATCTCCTAGGGAACTTAGCTGGCTCTGCTTTGCTTGGACGCTCGGGTCTGCTGGTGTCGGCCAAGGCGCGGCAGGTGCATCTGCCTGAAAAGGTGCTCACTGAAGGGGCTGGCAGGTGTGGAGGAAGCTGCCATCGCAGTTAAGAACATTTCCGTGTTCTTAAAGCAAACTGTCTGATGCAATTAACTTACCACAGGTGCGATGGTGAGCACGCGTACTTTGTGCTCAGTGAAGGTGGTTGATGTGTTAATAAAAGAGAGGCAAAGGAGGGGTAGCTGCTCACTCAGGCTTGCGCTCTGGTTGTTGGCCAGGCCCCAGCTCAAACCAGGGCCATCTCAAAGGCTGGGCGACAGCCTGGCATGCTCAGTAATTGGGAAAGGTGTTTCTGCTTCTTATTTTTTAAAAAAGAGCTTGGGCTAAAGTACTTGTTTATGATGCCTTGATTCTACTTTTGCCTTCCATAAACAATGTTGTGCATTCTAGTGTGTTAACTCATCCTAGGATTTGGGAAGTGCTACTGATGTAGCGTCCATGAATTGGTCATTTTTTTGTTTTAGAAAAGATTATTAGGGACATATCCTAAGGGAAGTTAAGGCATACTCTACAATGAATGAGGTATATGGTTTACTCCTACTGTTCCATGTCCTAGGCTGACTGAGGTTCCTAGTTTGTCTTGCCTAGTGCAGGAGAGCCCACTGGCTTGAGAGACGGGAGTCTTGCCGTTGTTTCCTCAGTGCAGGAGGCATCTAGCCCGTGTTTCTCCTGCACCTGCAGACAACCCGAGCTCATGTCAGATCATTTGATAGTATGAGTCCGGCTGCCCACCACTTGGCGGGCTGAGGATGCTTCTCAGCCTGTCCAAGGGTGTGCATTCTCCTCATGCCTCGAAGGTGGAGGGCAGGGAGGTGTATCCTGTAGGCATGTGGTCTTGCCTGGGAGGCCAGAGAAAGAACCTCATGTGGCATAACCGTGTAGGCTCAGACTCCCTTGCCTTGGACAGGGGCCACTCATTTAAGGACAATCGTCTTTCGTGTTCAAGGTCCTGTCGTGCATCTCCTCCCTAAGCGATAAGACTTGTTTAAGAGTAGGTCCACTTTCTTGGCACTACGGACACATGACTGTGCTTATTGTTTATGTATTTGGTACAGGGTCTCACTATGCAGCTTGGACTCATGGTGAGCATCCTGTTTTCAGCCTCTCCAGCGCTGGGATTACAGGAGTGCGCCACCACGCCTAGTCTCAGTGGCCAGCTCAGCACTGCCCGGGGGTGAGGTCAGCATGGCATGTGGTGCTGGGGATTGGACCCTGGTCCCGGTGCTTGTATAAGCAGGCACTTAGTCCACTGAGCTCTCTCGCTGGCCCATGACTGTGCTTAATGCGGTGACCAAAGCACGATGTTCCCCAGGGTCTGTGAGTGAGGGGCCAGCTTTACAGCTGACTGTGACTGCTTAAATCACGTCCTGTCCTGTGAGTTGGTGCATCTGACTCACTTCCCTACCACCGATGTGAAAGGGACCCTGAATGGCTCACAGATATGAACGTCCGCGCCAGGACATCAGACACAATGTAGAAATCAAAGAGCTGCCGCCCAGGAGTTTTAACCACCAATACCCATTTATTTCAATGGAAAAAGAATCTCTGCATTCTATATGTTCCAAAAAGATTTACTATTGAAACAAATACAATATATGGAACTCTATCCGCATAATTCCACTACAACAAAGACAACGTGTGACTTCTATTTCCTACAGAAGGCGAACTGAAAAGCACGGGGGCAAACATAGATTGCATAAGAAAGCATGGGTGTGCGCGCGTGTGCGTGTGCGTGTGTGTGTGTGTGTGTGTGGTTAAAATCTTTAGTAAGCAACTGCATTAAAATATGCTAAGACACTTACCTTACCATAGTTTGTGGCGAGCTCTAAGAAAAAGCCACAGGCTGTCACTAGTTTTGGATAGAAAAATTTGGTGTGAGCTTTGATGGTTCATTTACAAGCTGAGCAACAAGAAGAGAATCTGAGTACAAGCACTGCCTTTCCTCTCACGTTTACATGCTCACAGAATGAAAATCAATTACATTTCCGACATCATGAACATCGTTTATTGTCAGTTTTGCAAACAACGGTAGTCAAGTCACACAAAAGGCTACTTTTAAAACTACCTGTATTTACTCTATTTTATGCCTGTATATATGAAACGGACAGTGGGTATGTGCATAAATGTGTGTCTATACATGTGGGTGTATATGTGTATACAAGGTGGTACCTGCTGGCTTCTTCATGTCTACATTCGACCCCCAAGCTGACACCTGCAACCCTGCATAGACTGAGGAGGGACAGATTTTCTACCACGATCCGTGTCGCCGTAAGAACAGTGGGCCGATGGGTTCAGGACACGTACAAATGCAGATGGATGCCCACGAGAGTGGCTCAGCCCTTTTCCTGGCCTTGGTGGGCAAGATCTTCTACTCTGCATGTCACCACTTTGGCTGAGGATCCCTGCGTGGTCAGGGAGAATCGGTGACAGTCCTCATTCTGAGGACAAAAGCCTTCTTTCTTTGCCCGCCTACCCGCCCTCTCTGCGGACCTTCCTGGCTGGTCAGTCAGCATTCGGTGCTCTGACCGAGCGGGCTGGTGGAGATGTGACTTCATGGAAAAAGTGACCGCTCTGTGGCCTGGACTGTGCTGAGCGTCTTGCTGAGGTCCTTGAGGGTTCGGGTGGCTCAGCTGCTGTCCCTCCCTGCCTAACCTTTCGAGGAAGAACAACATATCAAAACTAGGCTTCTCCTGTATAGTCTTGCTCTATAAATACCGTGTATATACACATTCAGATACTTATACATGTACAAATACGAGCCCACAGACACAGCTGGATGGATGTGCGCGGCCCTGGCTAGCAACATGTCAACACATCAGGAAAGTAGTCATTGCGCCTGCTCTCAGAAGGTCAAGTTATATGTCATGATCTTTAAACATTCGGCAAAAATTCGGAGGGTTCCATTAATCAAAGGAGGAAAGAAGATGTTCTCAAAACGGCGGAGTACAGACTAAGTGAAATTGCAAAGAAAATGAAAATCGGAACATTTGAGGCCTAGTTGTGAAGTTCAATAGCTGTAAACGGCAGTCTTCAGATTTGGATAGGTCTTTTTTTTTTTTTTCTTCTTTTTTTCCCGTTGCTATGGAAACTTGGGAGTCAAGCTTCAGATGTCAGGAGTTCTCACAGACCTGAATGGAGAAGGCTCAGAGTTAGGTCAGGAATATCAGAACTTGATTCAAAACATTTTAGCTAAACCTCAGATGAATGCCTGACAAAGCGTAAGAAATGCTCCCCCTCCCCCCACTGGCGTGATGCCCGGAGACAGAATGAGCATCCTGCTGTTTTATGTCCTAAGAAGCTGGACTTGGGGCTGAGGCTGCAGCTCAGTGGTAGAGTGTGCACCGCCCTGGGCTCCAGCTCCCTCACCAAAAGGCGAGCCTTCTCTGAACATGCTAATGATGACTACAGACGCCAGACATCTCCTCTGAGACCAGGAGCAGCTATCAGAGTTGCTACAAACGAGCCTTATGTCATGTACATTAGTGCAGAAGTGCTAAGGGATGCACAAGCTGATTCTCTAGCTCAGAGACTGATGGATGACTGAGATGTATGTATCACATAGCCCAAGAGACACATTAGTGATTCTTCCACCAAGGGATGTTAGTTTCCTTTTGCTGCTTTTTGTAGCAAATGGCCACAAATATAGTGGCTTGAAACAAAACATATCTATTCTCTTACAGGAGTGCAGTCACCGGTCTCAAGTGAATCATAGCTGAGGGGCCAAGAGTCCGAGCAGATCTGTGTTCCCCCAGCAGCTCCAGGAGAGTCTACTTCCTTTGCTTGCTCAGCTGCCGAGGCCACCTGCACTCCTTGGACTGGGATCCCTTCCTCCCCCTTGAATGACAGCGATGCTGCCTCTTCCGTCTTCCCACCTTCGAACTTAATCACACTTGCACAGTCTCTTTTCCTGGGTAAGGTGACATGTTCGTGGTTCCAGGGGTCAGGACGTCTTTGGGAGCCAGCAATCATCCAGCCACAGGTGGGAGGCGCCGTGCTCCTGAGAGGACACAAGGCATCTGTTGGGGAGGACTGTAGTCTAGGAGACCAGGTTGCTCTGGTGGCAAAGTCAGAATGACATCAGTGTAGGATGATTTCAGAGACCCGCATTCCATTCCCTGTGCAGGCCGACGGGAGGGCAGCCCAGGGTGAGCCCTGCTACCTGCTCCACTCAGGTGACGCAGCCGGCGTGGAGTTAGGCCGGGGAGGAGCTTTGTCTTCCTAGAATGTCCCGATCCAGTTTAAAATGAAGTTTTGTTTTGCTCTGGGGATTGACCTCCAGGTCTCCTGCATGCTAGGCAAGTGTTCTACCACTGAGCTATACCCACACTCCCATTTTAAGTTTTATTTTGAGGCAGGGTCTCCTAAAGTTGGCCCGGTTGGCCTCAAACTTTGGATCCTGTCGCCTCAGCCTCCCAGGTAGCTGGGATTCCAGGTGTGCACCACTGCGCTCGAAACAGCAAGTTTTGCTCCCTGCTCCCTGCACAGCACAAGGAGTATCTGTACAGTTCTCACGAAGAGGAGTGGTGTGTGCCAGCCCAGGCGTGGATCCCACCTTCTGCAGAACCTCTCTCTCCAGCATGGCGGTTGTCAACTCCTCACTCTTGGGCTTTGGTGAGGGACAACCTAGTGCCACCAGGAGGCAGGCGAAAGAGGGACTCATGGGTCCTGCTCAGCTGGCCTTCGTCAGTCCTGGCAGGGCTGAGCCAGTTGAGCTGGCATCCAGCAGTGCTCACCCACAGGGCAGGCGGTGTGCCACTCGGCGCCCTGTGCCCTGAGGCCATGCTTTCCATGTCACAGTCAACTGGCAAGATAGTCGTAAACATCGGGGGATTGCTGAAGGACTTTGTTTCAGAAGTCCTCTTAGGTTCGGTAAGTGGTCTTTTTATTTTTTGAATGTGAAAGGCCACTTACGCTCAGGGTGCTGTGATGCTTTATACATCTCCATCTCTTGGTCCGTGCTTCCAGGACCTGGGCCGTGCTAGGGAGCAGTGCAAGGAGCCCTGGCATCTGCAGCAGTGACATCTGCGGCTGGATGACCTCTGTGCGTGGGAGGACACCCAGCCACATCCCTGGCTGCCGTCCACTAGATGCCACTGGTAGCCCCCTGTCTGTCATGATAATGGAAAATATTTCTAGATGTTTCCAACTGTCCCTCAGTAGGCAATGGGTTAAAAAATTGGACTGGACAAAAGCCACTGAACAAGTCTCTATCCCTTTGTTTTTGAATTAGAGTCTCCGATTCCCGTTTTAAGTCAATTTAAGCTACAATGTAAATGATCCTCCTCCTGGGGCTGCCGGGGTGATTCATGAGGTGGTCTATGTAATTTATGTAAAGCCGTGAGCTCGGATGTGTGTGGCTCTCAGAAATCCCTCCAGGGTCAGCTCTCAACGTCCACACAGTCATACTGCGTTAGGGGCCACAGCTGTTCCACAAAGCAGACTCCGGGCCATCCTCGGCAAGAAGACAGCCCGTGCTGCTTTGGGTCCCTCCCCACAATGCAGAGGAATACACAATAAGGAAGAACCAAATACTGGCACACTCCAGGGAACTCTAGAAAGGGCAAAAGCTCCACAGACGAAGCAGACCAGTGTGGGGCTTGGGAGTGCATGGGGACCAGGAGCTTGGGGGCTCTCTGCATTGGGGTGCGGCTGCACAACGCACGCAGTCGCCAAACCCCATCCCATGGTGCACTTACACTGGCCGGTCTCACTGTATGCAAGTGATACCTTTATAAATAAAAGAAAAATACTTTAGTGGCTGTCTCTGACTCATCTCGGTGGCCTCTTTAAATTCTAGTGATGGAGATTGCTCTTTAGTAACCCCTCCCCCAAAAGAGACATTAAATTTTCTTCTTGTTACAATGGTTTGCTTGATCTTCTTTTGCTATTCTTGCTCTTTCTGTTTAGTTAAGCCTAAAGCGTTGGTCAGAAAAGTCTTCTTAAGGCTTGCCTGCGTTGAACTGTGCAGAGCTGGGCTGGTGAACTAGAGATGCGATTTGATACGGCACGGTTAGTTGCACTGGGTGGGCACTGAGGGAAGAGTCATGCAACCCCTTCATGCCGCCAGGATGCCACTTACACAGTAGAACTGACAGTGACAATAATTCCATTTCCATTTTTTATTACTCTCAATGCCATTGGTTTTATTTCCTTTATTTTTAGATGTCAAAGAAGGATGGGAAGATCCTGCAGTTCAATTCTCAGTTGCAATAAAGCCATCTCCAGTGCCACCATGAATGCCAGTTTCATCATTTGTTTCCACAAGGAGGTGGTCTAAGGGGCTGGGGAGATGGCTCAGTGGAAAAAACGCTTCATTGGCAAGTGCAAGGGCCTGAGTTCAATCCCTGGTTCCGGTGAAAGCCATCTTCCCTGCGTACTCACCTGGGGAGTTTTCTGAGTACCAGTTTTCTCATCTCTAAAGTGGGATCAAATCACAGACCAGTATAGAAGAAAGCCACAAGCACCAGGGTGTTTGGCACGAATGCTAGTCCTTGGAGATGAATATTATCCGAGGGGAGGAGAAGCCCTTTCTTTACTTTCTGCAATGTATGGTGGGATCTGCTCTTACAACCACTTACGTTCTACAGAGAATGCTTTGCAGGAAGGGCTGGCCAGACTTTCCTGTGGAGGGACAGATGGTAAATATGTTCAACTTTGCAGGCCAGACAGTATCTGCTCCAAGTGCCCACCTCTGCCATCGTAGCAGCACCAGACAGCATGTTGGGGAATGGACATCGCTGTGTTCCCATAAAGCTTTATTTATAAAATGGGTTGTGGACCAGATTCAGCCTGCGGGATGAGGTTTGCAGGCCCTGCTTCAAAGAAACATCAAACAGGTCATGCCACCTTACTTCCCTGACCCCAAAAGGCTTTCAAAGACTCTGACTGAGTTGGAATTCGAGCTTCAGGGCTTTCAGAAAACACGTCCATCCCTAAATCCTGCCAAATTTAGGGTTAACACTGTCTCCAACACTTTCCAGTTGTGAAGTTAATAACTTCCTATTTTATACAGTTTTGCACTCCATAAGCTTCTCAAATGCCTTTTTGGAAGGCTGATGCCACAGCAATCCACGCTGCCAGGGTAGCTTCATCCGTTGCAATGGATGGTGGGCCTGCAGGCCCTGCCGGACCTGAGGTTTCCGAGCACCAGCTGCATTAAGTGTCTTCATGTCCATCTTCTTAAATTCTCCTTCCTGCTCCCTTTTCCCACCAAACAGGAAGTGGTGGGAGCCGGCAAGTGTCCAGGGTGCAGAGCAGACCGGGGGCTGCTATGAGGGTGTCTGGGAGCCTCTGTTCTAGGACAGACCACTGACTAGGGTGCTCTCCACTGTCCAGCACCTTAGAGTCACCCAGTATGCCCTTAGGATGGACGCATGCCTGGGCCGCACCTCCAGCAATGGGGTTTCCACAAGAGCAGGGCCCAGGTGCAGGATATGTATTGGAAAGTCCCCCTGGTGGGCTCCTGTGCACTACAGCTGAGACCCATGCTGGTCTCTGCAGTTGGTGCATCCGGGTGACCTGTGGCTATGGTGATGGCCCAGTAAATGAGCCAGGGCAGCCAGCGCGGGAAGCTTCTGCTCACAGGGGAACTGTCTGGGCCCTAGGACCCCAGGGCCAAGAATCTATCAGTATCAGATATGAGGTGATGCTGGAAACTCAGCATCACTCTGGACCATTCCTGCTCTTTCATAACCCTGTGTCCCTGTCCTGGAAGCCTGGCCACTTCCTGCCTTGTGTCTCTGCCCTTGGATGGCAGTGCCTCCTACATTACCAGAGATGAGCCTCTTGGCTGAGGGGTGGCCCCCTCAGTTCTCACGCAGGCATGGAGCTGGGAACCAAGGCTAGCAAACACAGAGGGGCTGTGATGGGAGTGGGTGCAGGGCCTCAGGTTGGTTGGGATCCACCCGGCTTTGTGGCTTGAGGGTGCTGGTGAAGGCGTGGTTGGCAGAGCAGTTTGGGTGGAGAGCAGGTTGGGCAGGGTGGTGACTTGTTCTCCTGGGATAGTGAGACACAGCTGGGCTTCCATTTCTTAGTTCCCTGCACAGGTGTCTGGTCCACGCAGTGCGCTTTGTACACAGAGGGGACCCGATGTTGAAGTATGTGGTTCCAGTTGGCCTGCTGACTACTGGATAAAATGCCTTTGCCCTCTCTTTCTGCCAATTTTTAACTCCTGAATTTAAAATTAAAGCAAGGATTTCTCAAAATGCAAATAGCAAGGCCCCACAGTCCTTTGGATGGCAAGAACTAACATTGCTGAGGTTAACATTGGACTATTATTGCAAACAGGGAGAACATCAGAGAAGTGCTTACTCATCTTATGCTTACATTTGTATCGCTCAGTGTAATAACTCATTTACTTAAATGCTTCATTATAACAGCACTACTAGTGAAAAAGTATGACTTATACATTTATCTCTCTCATTGTTTTGGTAAGGTATTCAGGGTTGGCCCCAGGGTCTTCCATTGAGCTGCACCCCCAACTTATTAAAGCAAAATTAAGAAAAAAAGTAACATATAGTCTTGCTACAGCATTAAGTTTCCCAGCCTGGGGTCAGATTTATGATCCTCCTGCCTCAGCCTCCCGGAGTGCTGGGATTACAGGCCGGTGTTGCCATGCCTGACTAAATCTGTGATTTCTAAACCTAGAAAGGTTTAATAGCTACTTTAACCTTGTAAAAGATTATTCTGCACAGTGAAGAAAGAAATAGCCTTGTGGTGGACCAGGTCACCAGTCTGGGCACATTTTTTTTCCTTTTTGGTGGAACCGGGGATTGAACTCAGACCCTTGCACTTGCCAGGCAAGCGCTTATTCCACTGAGCCATCTCCCCATCCCCTTGGGCACATTTTGAATTAAGTGGGGGGGGGGGGCTTGGGTAGGATTCGGCCCGCCCTGGGTTTGCCGGAGAGCAGAGTGCCTTGGCACAGTTCGGCCAGCAGGGGGCCCCCAGGGTGCCTTCAAGCATTAGCGGGAGCACGTTTACGTAAGACTTTCTCCCGCGCAAGCATAAACAGTACAGGGGAATGATTCCCGAGGGAGCAATTCCTGGGAACGCTGTATAGGAAATAGAGTGGGTCTCTGACGGCGGCGACGTGCACGCGACGCCGTCCCCGTGCGGGGTCGGGCCAACTCACACACTAAGCTGAGGAGTGAGAGCAGCAGGAGCGAGGCGAGGCGGCTGCGCAGGGCGCCCGCGGCGTTGCAGTCCACTCTGGAGTTCTTGCAGGAGCACACCTGCACCCTGAGGTCCGTGACGTTCGTCATGGGCGGCTTCCCTGAATCTGTCACCATGATGGGCAGGTTGTAGTTGGCTTTGTTCAGGTTCTGCAGAAGGCTCACCAGCGCGTGTGTATCTGGAAGAAGACAAGGGGCCCATGAGGTGGGAGGGGGACAGGACCCCGCAGACCGCGAGGCCCAGCGACCAGAACGGCACAGCACGGGCGCCGCCTTTTAGTTCACAGTCAGGGGACGGTTAGAATCTAAATTAATGAACGTCAAGTAAAAATACCAGTTCAGTTCCTGGGTGGCAGAAGCCACATTTCAGATGCCCAGTGCCACCCACAGCTGGTGCCACCTGTGTGGAGCAGGGCAGCGGCAGGGTGTTTCCACCAGGGCATGTCTGTCCTGTGGCTCTGCTCCGTTAGAGTCAAACTCCCGGGGGCCCACTGTCGTGGAAGTCATCACGTGCTGAGGGCTCCTCCAAACTTACTCTACCTACGAAGAGGGTGTCTCACGCTGGGGAGCGATGTGAAAGTCGTCAGCCCTGCTGCGTGGGGCAGACCCCAGTGCTTGTCGTGCCCACGAGACTTGTAAATGGTGTTTTGCTCAATCGCTAACCCACAGCCCCGGATTGGGGGAGAATTCAGGGCACGGAGGGCGGGGCTTAAGCTTCCCCCAGTTCCCCTAGGCCCACGTGCAGTGGGGCCATCTGTTACCCTGGCCACCCGGTGGTACACAGAAGTGCCCCTCTCCCGTCCTTGGTCTTGGGGCAGGCTGCTTTCAGCCACTCAGAAGGCTGGGGATTTTTTTTTTTTTTGAGATAAAGTATCACGACAAAGTTCACGCTGGCCTCAAACTCTCAGTGCAGTCCAGCCCAGGCTGGCCATGAACTCGTGAACCTCCTGCCTTAGCAGTTGGGGGCTGGCATTAATGGGCGTGGTTGGCAATGGCCTTTTAAAAAGCTTCTTTCTGAGGAAAAGATAGGCACAGCAGAGAGAATTTAGAAGTCATGTATCTAACAAAATCAGGAGGGAGACTGAGTCTGGGGACATGGAAACACAACCGGGGGGGCACTTCCTCACTGGGGTGACCAGTGCAGTGGCTGCCCTGGGCGGTGCAGACTAACTCAAGGGGCAATTCCTGCCTCCCCTCCTCCAGGACTTGGAGGGGGCGGTGTTGAGTGCTCACATCTTCTAGCTGTAGAAACCAAAGAGGAAAACACGGACCCCTTGGCCCAGGGAAGAGCTGCTGTAATTAAAGATATTGGCGTAGAGTTTATTCTTCAGAAAGAAAATAGACAAGCAGAACTGATCATAAGAAAGGTACTTAGCAGATCTGAGCTAGGCCTGTAACAATAGATATGAGATTCCTTGATAGAAAGTTTTATGCACAATTGTGTAAGACTTATTCAAGACAGGATGAAAGGAGCCATCTGTGTCCCCCTCTGCCATCGTACCAGGGACGCAGCAGTGAAACTGACCAGGCGAGGAGCACGATAGAGTCACCACTGAAGATCAAGGGTGTGTAGTGGGCTTTTGTTATTGTTTTTGTGTTGCTTCATTTTGCTCTTCTAAATGAGAGGTGAACTTAGGAAGAAAGCGAAGAGCTACTGTGGATGTAGGAATGCTTCAGAGTTCCTCAGGTGGAGAATGGGAATTTGGGGTCAAATTTTGAAATCCACTTGCCTATGTGGAAAGACTGGGAGAGACACACTGTTTGGCAGCTTTCATAAACGATGCCAGGTGTGGTGGCACACATCTATAATACCCGCACTCTGGGAGGTTGAGGCCGGAGGATAGCAAGTTTGAGCTGAGCCTAGGCAACTTAGGGACTTAGGCCCTGTCTGAAAAAAAATATAATAAAAAGGGCTGGGGATATCGCTTCGTGTGAAGGTTCTGGGTTTGATTCTCAGTACTGGGTGGACATAGGAAGAACAACGGCACAGTCTTCAGTGAAAGCCAAGGTCATCAGAGAGATGAGGTTAAGCTTGGGGAGGCCTGCAATGTACGTGGAAGACTGGCACTGCCGTTGCCCACACATCCCGTGCTTCTGTTTCTCATGAAGGTGAGTAAACCACAGAGGAGTTCTCCAAGGTTATGGCAAAAGCCCAAACAGATACAATTCTCTGTCTCGGAGACAGGAGACAGCAGAGCCAGAGACCCATGGGGAGAAGCAGCGAGACTGGCTTTCACAGGCTGAAGGCTGAGCTGGTTGGCCAATGTTCCAAGCAAGCCAGGAACAAAGAGAGAACCTGAGGAGCTTAATTAAAATGAAGAGTGAAGAGAAAGGACAAAGAATCACCACCTTGTGACTGGCTGCTCCAGGGTGGCAGAAACGCAGAGACTACATATGCATCAGGAGAATACTGAGGCTAAGCATAGGGCATCAGGTATACTGCACAGAGGGCATCGTGGAGGTGGGCATGTACAGCTTGCACTTAAAAGAAACTGATATTCAGTATTTGTACAGACTGTGTTCACTTGCCGGCAGGGGAGCTGTCAGTAGTCTACACTGTATATGACCTAAGGTAGATGGGAACACGTGGGCGAGTGGGAGAGAAAGCGGGCTGGGAAAGAGAAATGGAGTTCAAAGTGGAGAAGAAGGGGAGGCTGTCAGACCCCGGCTTACTGTTGATCTTGGTGATCTTCCAAACTTTGTCAGGGACGGTTTGTTTGTGAATTTCGAACTTGAAGGGATCCGTGTTTGGGTGCAGATCTTTGTCCGATGCCCCCACGATGACCACACTCAGGTTTTTGGCGTCATCGCAGACCTCGGCTACTGTGGGGTAGATGAAGGGAGCGTTGTCGTTCACATCTTCCAGGGTTATCAGCAAGGTGCCCGTGCCGGTGGCAGGAGGGCTGCCTGTGGGAGAGGGAAGACGCTAGGATGTGACCAGGGTAGCCGAAAGCGGCTCGGCAGGCAGCGGCTTCCGCAGCGCACGCTTAGCATGTCTTGGATGAGCTATTACCAACGGTTCCATTTGGCCTTACAACCTACATAATAGGAAAACAATTTTTTTTGACAGCCATTCCACCAAGGACTAATATCAAGAATGTAGAAAGCATTAAAAAAAAAGTTAGGTTCTCCCAATAAAAGACATAATCAGAAAATTTGCAACTGAAATGAATAGATACTTCTCAGAAGAAGTACGAATGGTCAATAAATACATTAAAATGCTTGTTATCACTGGGCGTCAGAGAAAGGCAAATTAGAACTCCAGCGAGACAACACCTTACCCCTGAATGGCTGTTATCAAAAAACCCCTAAAAATAACAAATGTGGGTGATGATGTGGGGAGAAGGGAAGTCTAGTGCATTGTTGGTGTGAATATAAACTAGTACAACCACTGTGGAAACCAGTGTGGAGAGTCCTCAGAAAATGAGAACTAGAAATATTCAAACCAGCTGTCTTCCTACTAGGTATCTTCCCCAAAGAGTTAAATCATCATACTATAGAAATACATGCACGCCCATGTTTATAGAAGCACAACTTAGGGCCGGCCTGATAGCTCAGCGGACTAAAGCGCGCCTGCTGAGGCAGAGCTCAGGGGCTGGGGTTCGATCCCTGGCATGCTGTGCCCGCCCCACCTGTGGGGCGAGCTGAGATGGTGATTGAGACTGCGCGTGGTGGCGCATGCCTGTAATCCCAGCAGTTGGAGGCTGCAAACAGGAGTCCAGTCTACATAGTGAGCCCCTGTACACCCTGTAGACCTGTAGACCTTGTCCTAAATACAGGAAAAAAGAAAAAGAGAAGCACAATTTATGATATCTATATGTTGCAAACAAAGCTCATGACCATCAACAGACCAAAGGACAAGGGAAATGTGGCATTTATACGCCATGGAGTGCTGCACTGCCATGCCAGAAGATAAACTTAAGGCGCTTGTAGGTGAGTGCATGCACCGCGAGAACATCATTTTAAGTGCAACGAGTCACACACACAAGCTCAAATATCCTGCGGTTTCTCTTATAAGATACACTATGTACAAACTGGCACATGTAAATATACACACACAAGCACCAAAATAGAAGACACATAAACAGGAAGCAGGAGAAGGCCAGCTACTTCCACAAATTACATGTGTTTAAACAACAGAATATATAATTGGGGGAAGCATTTGGCCTTACACTAAAAATTTATCTTAGTCCAGGGGTATGTTTGTTTTTTTTGTAAGAATTTTTTTGGCTTGCATCTTGTACTGAGTAACTACTTTGCAGATAATGTTACACATTATTAAGTGTAATAAGCTGTTGCTTTTCTCTTCTTATTTGGTTATAAAAATGTGTTATTCTTTCATCAAATAAAATACAAAAATATTAACAGTTTCAGTCAGGAGTAGCAATAGTAGATTACATTTTTGCATGAAGTTTAGTAGTTTATGAAGCATTTAAAAAATAGTGTACATGAGATTGTTAGCTGGCTTCTTCAGGCTTCGTCCTTGCCTTCTTGTACAAAGTCCTAGAGACTGAAGGGCGCTAAAGACGGAGGATGACAAGGGCAGCCTTTCTTGCTCATCACATTGAAACCTGCCTGCGAAGAGCTGGGATTCGGGATTGGCATCTGTGCGCTTGGGATGGTGGAGCTCCGGGGCGGGGCCAAGGCTCCTGCGGGCAGCTCAGCCTGAGGCGGGCATTACCCGAGGAGCCAGAGCTCTGACCCGGGTGGGGCTGCCTTCCTGGGTGTGGAGTGGGTCGGAGGCCCATGGGTGCGTGGGGTGGCCGAGCGTGCGAATGGACGATTCAGAAAGTGATGAGAAAAAAAGTCACCTGCGGGCCACAGGGGCAGGAGAAGCAATCGTGACATAATCTCTGGGCTTGATTTTTTAAAGCCCTTTTAGTTTAATATTTCTGTTAGTACCTGAAATGTTTTCCATTTTAGGAAACATTATTATTATTATTATTAATTTAGTACAGGGTCTACAGGGTCTCACTACACATAGATCGGACTCATAGTGAGCGTCCTGTTTTCAGCCTCCCAAGTGCTGGGATTATAGGTGAGCACCACATTGTCTCAGTGCGCCCGTGCTAGGCACGCTGGGCATCCAACCCTGGTCTTTGAATCTGCCGAAGCAGGCACTTTAGTCTGCTGACCTATCTGGCTGTCCCAAGGAAACATTATTTTTAAAAGCCTTTCTAATCCCTAATTTAATAATGTGTTTTACTTAAAGGCTGTTCAGAGCTGGCAACAGGGCTTAGTGGTAGAGTGCTTGCCTAGCACGCATGAGGTCCTGAGTTCAACTCCCAGCAAGAAAAATTAAAGTAAATAGAAAAGGATGTTTAATGTTAATAAAGCTCAAATTGATTTAAGTTTCCCGGTTTCATTTTGTGCCATCTGCTAATTAGAGGTTTGTTCTTGGACAAACTATTCATTGGTAGTTTCTAATTTTAATTTAGAAAAGTTAGAGCCAAATTTGTAGGGCACAAATTGTAGGTATGCACATTTGCCTTACTGCCCAAAACATGTGACACATCGCTGTAAAATTCTTGTACTATACAGATGGCCCCCATTGATGATGGCTCAACATTTTCAGCTGTATTACGGTGCCAATGTGTATCTGTACCAAAATTCTGCTTGTTGCTTTCAGTGCAGTACTTAAATTACACAAGATACTCAAAGCTTTATTATGTAATTGACTTTGTGTTAGAGGTTTTCACTCAACTACATACTAATGTTATTAACATTTTACAGGTAGAACAGGCTGAGCTATGATGGGTTAAGCTTGTTAAGTAAATCTTTTGATTATGATATTTTCAGCTTCTGATGAGTTTATTGGGTTATAACCCACCGCAAGTTGGAGAGAATCACACAGGAGCGTTACAGAGTTAGCCGAATGTATGGCTCCATTTTATTTTTCTTATTCCTACTTGCACTTACCCAGACTTTAGTTTATCTCTTATTTACTTATGTATTTTTGTCAAAGGTTGACAAATTCACCCATATAAAACCTGGATGGAGAAGAGATCATCTTTAATACTAAGTGAATTACCACATTTTGTTTGTTAGGTACTTCTCTAAAGTAAGAAAAAGATATTTGATGAAGGAAGGTGGAGAATTTAAGCAGTCAATATGAAGTATTCAGATTCTCATTTTAAAGATGAAATTGAAAACAATGAAATGATGCTTCCTTATCATACTACCTTGGCTGTGATGGAAATTAAAAAGAAATCAACAGCTAGTCTGGTACCATATTAGGACAAAGTGTGATCATCCAGCCCACCACAGCCGTTATGCTCACTCAGCTTGACTGGCTATGCCGGGCTGTAGGCCAGAGACAGCCTGACCCAGCTCGGGCTGACCACAGTTAGCTGCACACCCTGTGCTTCCTAGCCACAGACATATCCTGTTTGCTAACTTGTTTCAAGGAATTTCTGCCTGGCAACAAAAGATGACTGACACTATCCAATAAGAATTCACCACGCTTTCAAGCTTCTGTACTTCCTGCTTGCCAATCCCAGAGGGCCTGGGGTTGATGCTTTGGGAGCGACCTCCACCAGCCTGCCAGTGTGCCCCAGCGGGTTGCCTTCCTGCCCCTGGGTGCACAGCGTCTTCTACACAGTTCGGTACTGGGTTTCCAACATGCCCATGGAGGGAAACCAAGACTCACAGCTGAGATGGGTAGCAGTGAATGAATCATCTTTGGAGAAGCCCAGTGGTGCTGCAAGACCGATTCGCACCTCAGACCGTCAGCTCTCTGTCTATCACTTTCCCTTGGACATGTTCCTTGCATGTGGAGATCTGTATTCACAGGAAATCCCAGCACAGTAAGAGCACATACTTTCGATTCCCCCAGTGTCCACCAACAAAGGACTCAGATAAGCAGGTTAGTGAACTATCAAAATACTGCCTAAGTTTAGTGTCCTGAACAAATATAGTTTTGCAATGCTCCTATGACACTTCATTAAGGAGATACAGGATTTTCTTTTGTTAGTGTATGTTTGCAAAACATAATGATGTTCCTTCTGGAAATTAGTGCATGCATGTGACATATCCTGATCATTTTTGACTCCTGTACCCCTCTGTCCCTCACCTTCCTCCTCTCTCCTATCTCCTACTTACTTTTTGAGGTACCAAGTGGGTTTCCAGCTATCAAATAGCATGGGGCTTCCAAGAACAGTAGGCAATGAGAGAGCGTAGGTGTCAAGGGCAAGGCAAGGGTGAGCGAAGCAGCCACCAGCCCTTTCCACATTCAGACCTTTTCCTACTTACATGGACAGAATAGGCAGAGTGGACACGGTGGCCTGTGGGCAGCTGATGCCATACAACTGCAGCACAAATGAAGTTACATACCAAGGAGCCCCTCCACTCTGCTTCTGGGCAGTTTTATGGCCTGCAGCTGTGCCCTGACGGGGTGTGCAGGAAGCCCCAGAGCTCACAGAACCCCGGAGTGATGAGAAACAGGGAGGATCACATGGTGCCCTGCCAAGGCTCAGCTCTGCGGAGGCCCAAGCCCCCACTATGTGGCTCTCGGCCCACAGTATCCAGGTGCCGCTGTGGGGCTGGCTGCTCCTTCACAGCTGCACAGCGGAGGACAGTGCGGGGCTGAGGCTGAGAGGGCTAGTGGGGCCTGGGAGCCTTGCTGGTCGCGGCAAAGAGTCATGCTCCTTCTGGAGATTTCATAAAGCAACCTTGGGATTTTCAGGAAAGGGGTGTGACAATCTGATCTAACTCATTTCTGGAAAACACGAAATTGTATTGATAGGAAATGTAGATGTTGTTGGCAACGGATTAAGTGAGTCAGGGCATAGTGAGGTTAAACAGGAGGCAAAGGCCTGGCCTTGGAGATGAGATGCGTATGTGGGGCTGCCAGAGGAAAAGCAGAGGGTGGAGGGGGCCCAGGAGACTGGCTTTGACTGTGCTAAGGG